CTCTCTCTAGCGTGCGTTGTCCACGCACGCACTTGCTTCCACGCACGAACACTACTCTCTCTCTCTCTCTATTTATCTATCTTTCTCTCTCTCTTTCTCTCTTTCTCTTTCCCCCTCTCTCTGCCCCCACCTCCCACACACACAAATACACACTCAAACACACGTAACATTCGAATGCATACCGGATCGTGATCACGCAACGTAGTCAATGTGTTATAAAAAGAAAAAAAAAAATTCACGTTGCAGCCTTATTCTGGTAGCGGTTGATTTTGTTATATTCGTTACGTTATTACTTTTTCCCGTTCGCCTAAGAAAGTTGCATCATAAAATTTGTTATATAAGGTACATACCTTGTATTCGAATACAAGGTACAAGGTACGTACCTCATTTTTGGGTTAAGATGATAGTTTTATAAATTACGTCAAGACACCTGTTCCTGAAGAATTCGGGGCTGGGACTTAGGGGCGACAAGTCTCATAAATCTTAGTTTTATATTTATCCACACGCAAATGAAAAAGAGAAAAAAAAAAACCTTTTCTCTATCGCAATGATGTCGGACAGGGTAGTCTAGGAGGTCGTGCTCACAGTCTTCCTCTGCATAATTAATCTTACAACTAATACGGTCACATTCATAATTTTTTTTTTTTTTTTTTTTTTTTTTCCCTCTTTCTTATAGTCCTCTGCCAACGAGGCAGGACGGAATGTGTGATTTCCTCAAGTTGTGTTTTCTCATAGGATTATAACGCTAATCACACTGAAACTTCAAAAAATGTATCCAATTATTTTCACGTCCGATTCCGTGTTTTCATTTTTTCCCCTCCTTTTGTATTTTTTTAACCTGACAACTCGGCCACGTGGTCGAGGGCCTCGCCACATGAATGTCGAAATATATTACGACATTCGACGTATGTCATGAACTTCTCATCATTCTCTCATTCGAAAAAAAAAACACTTCGCCACATATCATGTCGAAGTGGATAACTCATAAGTCTTACGCACAAAAGTGACAAACCTGGGATGAAGATAGTAAAAATGTTGGTCCGTTCTCTCTTTCGACATTCGGGCAAGAACTTGACATCCCATCGGATAACTATTGAAAATGTCAAAGTTGCAGGTTGGGAAACCAACCTTGCTCGAGAGGAGGTGTCGAAACCCTTTCCCTAACAATTTCTGATTTATTTTTTTTCATATTGGATTTCGACAGGCTGTGTTGCGAGGATAAATTATTGAAAATGCCGTTTTCGACATTGGTGCGGCGAGACTATGAGATGCCCTCACTCATTGAGGACACACTAACACTACCACTTGTAATAATGTATACAAGTGCAATCATGACGAAGACTTTGTTTTGTTTTTTTTTTTTAGTTTCACGGCCACAACTTTTTTTTCTTTTTCTTTTTGGGATAATTTGCTAAATACCCCCATAAGTTGAGATATATATCAAAATGCCCCTAATAGATGTGGGTGAAGCGGAATGCCCCTCTGACAAAAAAATATTTTATGAGATACCCCTGGTGTCAGTTGGACCCCCATTTTTGCAATAAACCTTTACTGAGTACCGTCCAACTTTGCAAAATGCCCCAGTACTTGCCAACTTCTCCGAGGCGCTATTCCAAACGGCCAAGGCCCAAACCGGGAGTTCCAGATTGCAAAATTGCACACCCGCCTGACAGAAGCACAACACAAAGATTTCGGCCCAAAGAGGCATTCTGTTCTACTTACATTTTTCGGCATTTTGGCATGTATCTTAACTTATGGGGGTATTTTGCAAATTATTTCTTTTTTTTTTCTCTTTCTATGAGAGTACCAAAAAAAAAATGGAGTGAGAGGAGTGAGACCTAGGCTCGGCAAACTCAGAGCGCAGTAAAATTCAAGCTCGAGAAAAACAGTCTAGGAGGTTCTAGTGGCGTAAGCCCAACCCTCCATTTTCAAGAGGTGTCAAACACAGTACTGAACAAAAAACAAAAACATATTCGCATCTTTTATGCATAGTGTGACGAGAGTTGCACTTTCAAGAGTGCTGTGTGGCCAAGGGCCAAAAACTCTTAAACGCTTGACAACTCTTGAAACCTTTCATCGTTTCAAGAATGGTGTGGCGAGGCGCTCAGTTGAATACGACCAGGATTGCCGCAGGTGGTCAAGGGGATTTGCAGTCCGTCAGGGGTGCGTTTCCCCCCCAGGAACATTTTTCGTCGTCGTTCGTTATACGGTCGTTGGAAGGCTGTAAAAACAAGGCATGGCAGTTTAGGGGGTGGTGGCATCTTATTTGAAACTCCACGACCGTTAGCTGCCCGTGGAACTGCACCGGTTTTGGTCAAGGACCGCGTAGGACCGGTAGCTGCACGTAGGAGGCTGAGGAGGCTGCAGTCCTTTTTCAAAATTAAAACGGTGCGGGTCCACTTTTCTCGAATAGCAGAGTTTCTCGAATGAAAACGCACGCATTGTATTCGAATACAACCTATATCCTTTCTATTCGGATTTCAATTTTTTTTTTTTTTTGGTATTCCGATAAAATCACTTGTTCTTTTTGTTGGAGGTCAGCACCTGCCCTTGTGCTCCCCGCCACTGACATGCTGTATGCTGCAGGTCTCTCTCTCTCTCTTTCTCACACACACACACACACACACACACACACACACACATACATGCACGCACACGCGCACACTCTCTCTCTCTCTCTAACACACCACACACACACACACACACACACACACACACATACATTCTCCTGTCTATTGATGGGGAGCGCCACCTGCTGGAAACTGGGTCCAGCGTCCCATGAATATCGTGAATAAAGCATCAACCGGGACCCCCTACACACACTCTCTACTTTACCCTTCCCGAACCCCATAAACAAACGAACTACCGGCTGCTCACCCGTGCCCTCACGGTAAGTCAATTGAACCCAAGACCTCCTGAACACCACTTGCGTGCCTAACCATCTAAGTCGACCACTTGCTCGCTTCCTATTTGCTCTCGCCCAGCCATCTCCCGGGGCTAGGTCCCACTTACACGAATTAAGCGATATTGGCCGTAGATAGCAAAGATCAACGGCCAGAATCTCCGTGGAAGTGGGACCTTGCGCCCCGGGAGAGGGTCCAAAATTGGTCAGGACTATTTTTTCGTTTGTGCCTTTCGAGGGCCATACCTCTCGCAGTACCCTGAACGCGGACTGACCAAAAGCCTTCTGCGTCACCCGCTACCGTTCCGCGGAATCCAGCGTTCACTGATGTGGCAAAGAAGGCGGGAAGTTGGGATTGGTGGTTGTGGACGCGGCGGCTCGGCTTTCCTCTTTTGTAGGGGTAGGCGGTTAGGGTTTTTTCGTATCTTCTTCCGCGTGGGTCTTGATCGTCGCACAGGGCTTTGGAATGGGTGGTGTAAGGCAGCCGTAACGTCGCATGGGACATTGATTTGACAGCGTGGGCTTTGTGCGACAGTTGCCCATCACATGCGATCGTGCGAAGCGGGATGGGAACGTTTCGCCTCGTCGTCGCCATCGCTATTGCCATCCTGCTCACGAATTTCGATTTCCGTTTGCTTTGCATGCACTAGTCTTCGTTTATTTCACGGGTTCTTAGTTATTCTTCTCTCTGGGATACGGTCATGCGGACGATGCTGTAGGTAGAGAAGAGAGAGTCCAAGCGACCGATCGATCGATCGATCGAGCGAGAGCGAGAGCGAGCGAGCGAGCGAGCGAGCGAGAGAGAGAGAGAGAGAGAGAGAGAGAGAGAGAGAGAGAGAGCTGGTTGTCTGTGTAGCGAGTGCCTGGTCAAGGCACAGTCAAGGTACACCTGATTGTGAAGTAGTTGGAGGCTGATCAGTGAGGAAGACATGGAGCCTGCGGCAGCGAGGAGGCTAAAGTTGAAGGCAATGAGAGCGGCGGCTGACGGAGCGGGGACAACTGCAAGGCATGAGAGCAGCGGAACGATGTTGAGCAATCCGTTGGCGTCGACGGGCGGTCCCGACGGTCAGTCAATGCAAAGCTCATTTCAGTACAGAGCCAATGCTTTTGGCGAGACATTCATGAAGGCGCCAGCGATGATGGGGGTCAGCTTTGCATCACCAACGCTGAAGAATTGCGGCAACAATTCTGGATCAGGTCTTCTGGGTGCTTGCCCTCCGTCTCCGTCACAATATGCCCGTCCTCATTATGATCGAGTAGCGGCGCCATCAGCTTCCACCTGTCAGCTGGCGTCTTCCTCGCAGGGGCCTAACGGCGTGATGTCGCCATTCAATGGCGCGCATTGCAGTAACGGTGCTTTTCAACAACCAGCAGCTGGTGGCGGCGCTGCAAGCGGATGGTTCTCTCCGCCGGCGATGCCATCAAGTAGGGTTGACTTAGCGCACTCTGGGCCGTCAGATTTTGGCGGGAAGCACTCTGGGCCGTCAGCTTTTGGCGGGAATCCTAGAAATCTCGGACGACCGACGAACGTTGGCGTGGGGAGGAACAACTACAATTCTCCCAGCTTTAGATCAAATAATGGCGCGAACAAATCAGACGGTGGTAGAGCATCCGCCCTATCTAACGGCGGTTTCAATGGAACGGGCAGCACGTCGTTCGGCGCGGCGTCTTCTGTGAGTGGAGGTGGGAGTGCTGGTGGCGGATGGCGTGAAAGCTTCACATACTCCTCGAGTCCAGGCGAGAGGGACTTCAATCATACGGGGAGGAGGCTGTCTAGAGGGCCGAAGGCGCTAAGGATGTGTGGCGGTAATGCAACACCAACCGCTTCCAACGCCGCCAGTACGAGAGGGATGAACTATGCCCGTTACGTGAAGAAAAGTATGTTGGAAGACCCTTGGGCTCAGCTCGAGGCATCCTTGCCAGTCTATCAGAAGGAGAATTGTGTTGGGTCCCCTGTGTCTGCGACGCCGCCTAAGTCGTGTATGGAATCGACGCCGGGCTCGGCGGAATCGTCTGTATCGTTTGACAACCGCGCGGAGAAGTTCATGCTGCTATTGCCCTCACCTGTTCAGATGAGAGATCTTCAGGCAGTAGCCTCTCCGGTGATTAAAGCGGGGCGGGATATAAACGAAATGAAGACTGACGATACCCTTCCGTCTGGCTCCCTTAGGTTCACCTCTGCTGTGCCCGAGATGGTTGCAGATGGCGGAGGCTGGTAATGTAGTAGATATATACTTAGTCATCGCTCAACCTGTTATCCACGTGGGTGGCCTTGTACGTACGAGGTGACGAACAGGTGGGGCTTTCCTTCTTTTTCTTTTTCTTGTTCTGTCTTTTTCCGCCTTTGCGGTCCGATTTCGTGCAGAGAACGGGACTGCCGCAGAAAAAGTGTCGTGATGTGTGGATTTTATGGTTGCTGACGATTTGCAAGTCTTACTTTCTTGCCAAATGGAGGGTGTGTTGTGAGATTGGGTTTCTAGCTGTCAAGGCCACCGGTTCCACCCGATGGTGTGTGACGGTTTCCGCTTCAGAAGTTGTGGCTGCCTGGCAGGTGGGAGCTGTAGCGCAATAGGAGTCATAGATCTCAGTTGTTCCCACAGCGATCTGAATCAAAGGTCGGGTTGTTTCCACGGCAATAGGAATCTTAGGTGCGGCTATTGTCATCGGGATTACGATCTTTGGTGCGGTTGATGGCACGGCGATCGGGATCGGAATCTTAGATTCAGCGGGTTCCGTTTAAGGTCTTCGGCCTGCGCTTTAGTTTTCTGATTTGTGCTATCTGTGCGGTTACTATGGCCTTGACTCGCTTGATTGCTCGCATGGAAGAGATGTTCCTCCGTCAATGGGCCCACAGATTCCATCCTTAATCCACTATCCTTGAGGCGGTGGATACCTCTCAATGCGTGAAAGTCATCGTCAGAGGAATGGATGGAAAGGGGATGAAAGAGGCGATAGAGGGATGTGTGTCTGTGTGCGTGTGTGTGTGTGTGTGAGAGAGAGAGAGAGAGAGAGAGAGAGAGAGAGAGAGAGAGAGAGAGAGAGAGAGAGCGTGGAGGGCGTTCGAGGTGGCTAAGCGTCTGGGGAAGGTGACCGCGTTCTCTGGTTTTGAATTCTGGACTAATGACGAGGTATCGGTCTTGCTGTGGCGAGGGAAGGGGGACACACACACACACACAGAACTGGAGGGCGTTCGAGGTGGCTAAGCGTCTGGGGAAGGTGACCGCGTTCTNGGTGACCGCGTTCTCTGGTTTTGAATTCTGGACTAATGACGAGGTATCCGTCTTGCTGTGGCGAGGGAAGGGGGACACACACACACACACAGAACACACACAGAGAGAGAGAGAGAGAGAGAGAGAGAGAGAGAGAGAGAGAGAGAGAGAGAGAGAGAGAGAGAGAGAGGGAACGTCTAGGGATGGGAACCGCGTTATCTGTTTTTGACTACTTCACGACTATCAGGTCTTGATAGAGCTAAGGGTGGAGGTGAGGATAGCGGAAGGAAGAGACGAAGGAGGCAAGGTGGGGAAAGTGTTAAGCGCGTGCTACATCAGATGCTATAAAGTCTGAGAGAAACTCGGCGCGGCAGAACAACCCGTTGGCTTCGCAGGGCTCTGCAGGCAATTATTCCTGTTTGGAAGTTCGTTTCAGTCGCGCGCCATTTAAGAGCCAATTCTTTTGGCACTGATGTCAGAAAGAGTTTCCGATGTGTGGTCTTCAGCTCTCCCACTCCGAAGCAAGGCGACCATGAGTTGGGTCTTACAGGTTGGCTTTGCGTCTCTAAGGTGCATATCCACCGCGATTCCATCAGCAGGCAAGAGGAAGAGGAAGAGGAAGGCCGTGCGTGATGAAGGAACAGCAAACATACACACAGAGAGAGAGAGAGAGAGAGAGAGAGAGAGAGAGAGAGAGAGAGAGAGAGAGAGAGAGAGAGAGAGGCGCGGCGATATCCGATCGTTTGTCGCGTAGATGTGTATCCTGTCTAAGACTAGGCCTGGGAGGTTGCGGGGTTTCTTTGTTATGTTCTTCTGCGTTTTTTACCGTCTTCCTTCAGAATAGACGTTTTGAAGAAGTTGACGTGGTGGCGGTGAGATTGCCAAGCGGTACTGATCACTGACAGTGGACGTAACGCGGTCAAGGCGGGCCTGGAATGTGAAAACGCGTGTTTTAACTACGTCTGATATTGGGATCTTATCGATTTCGTTCTGATCCGTTACGTTACGTTTCATCTTACGTGTTCCCGTTACGTAAGGCGAGCAGTCGTGACCACTTCGCCTCTCTTCCATGCAGCTTTCTTTTTGCGTTCTCCTTGTCTCTCTGCATAGCGTCTTTGTTCTCTTGGAAGAACTAACAGACTTGCTTGTCTCTAATTGAACTCGTAATCTCTCTGCGGTACTTTCCTCTCGCCAATTCTTTTGCGCTTGTCAATTTCATGGATATGCACTTACGACGGCTCCTCCTCTCTTCCACGCAGCGTTGTGTTGCCCTCCTTGTGCCTCTTTCACCGCCGTTTTGTTTTCTTGCAAGAACTAAGACTTGCTCGTCTTTAAGTCGTCCTGCGGTCCTTGGACCTTGCTTGTCAATTTCATGGATATGCACTTACCACGGCTCCTCTCTTCCACGCAGCGTTGTGTTGCCCTCCTTGTGCCTCTTTCACCGCCGCTTTGTTTTCTTGCAAGAACTAAGAGACTTGCTCGTCTTTAAGTCGTCCTGCGGTCCTTGGACCTTGCTTGTCAGTTTCATGGATCTGCACTTACGACGGCTCCCCCTCTCTTCCACGCAGGGTTGTGTTGCCTTCCTTGTGCCTCTTTCACCGCCGCTTTGTTTTCTTGCAAGAACTAAAGAGACTTGCTTGTCTCTCAGTCGTCCTGCGGTCCATAGACCTTCCTCTCGCCGTTCACTGCCCTTGTCAATTTCATGGATATGACGAGAGACTTGCTGGTCTCTCTCTATTATTTTCCGGGTTTGACCGCCTTTCTTTTCTGCAAGTACCTCGGCTATTGCAGGTAGGTGAGGTGAGGGAGGTATGCTCGCAAGGGAAGGAGATTTCTGTCCGTATGCGATTTCAGAGACGACGGAATTACGGCAGTTCCTATGCAATTGTCGTTGGCAAGGGGGAGGCTGCGCTGCTGCGGTCCTCTTCAAGAATTAATATGTGCAGAGCTAGCGCATGGACTCAGTGAGGTTTCCACCAAGCCGACAGGGAAACGCCGCGGTGGCAAGAGGCATTGATTTGACTTCGTCTACAGGAAGAGGACAGCGAGCCGCTCGGAATGACATCGCCGGCTTTTTCGAGGAAGAGGTATGTTCATAACTTCATCACGTTTATCCCTTGCTGTGTGCTCCGTGCAATCATTTTGACACCTGCTCTTTTTTTACCTTTGTAACCTTACGTGTCTCAGCAACTTATGGAAGTGAGTTGTGGTGTATAGGGACTTAACGATTCCCTCCAGCGAGTTCTATAATGAAAACCACGGAACCGGACTTCCGAACGGCTGAGGGAAGAACTTGCGTGTCGTTATCCGTGAACGTCTGAGGTCATTATGTTCCAGAGTGTACTCTGCGTGTGTGTTCGTGTGTGTGTGTGTTTCATGTTCTGGAGTACACACCTGCGTGTGTTTATCCGTTGTTGTGGGTGTTTATGCGTTGTTGTGTGTGTGTGTGTGTGTGTGAGAGATAGAGAGAGAGAGAGAGGGAGATGCGTTGTTGTGGGTGTCTATGCGTGTCGTGTTTGTTTGTGTGTGTGTGTGTGTGAGAGAGAGAGAGAGAGAGGCGTTGTTGTGGGTGGCTATGGGTGTCGTGTTTGTTTGTGTGTGTGTGTGAGAGAGAGAGAGAGAGAGAGGCGTTGTTGTGGGTGTCTATGCGTGTCGTGTTTGTTTGTGTGTGTGAGAGAGAGAGAGAGAGAGAGAGGGAGATGCGCTGTTGTGGGTGTCTATGTGTGTCGTGTGTGTGTTTGTGTGTGTGTGTGTGTGTGTGTGTGAGAGAGAGAGAGAGAGAGAGAGAGAGAGAGAGAGAGAGAGAGGATTCCGTTATGATTGAAGAAGGTTAAGGCAATCGTGCGTCTTTCTTTTCTCCTGTACACCGAGATACATTAGCTTAAAAATTATGACGACAATTTCTAGATGTATTGACGATTCGCAACGAAGTCTGGAGTTGTCCCAGACGAGAATTATGGCACAGCACACTCCATTCTCGGACTTGCCACCCGCATCAGACCTGGTGCTATTAAAAGTTCTCCGACCGCCGAAACGTATGTTTTGCGTCTGTAGGCATTCGTCCTTTCGGCTTTTTGCAATATAGAAACTATCGGCCAAAGAAATGACGAAGTTCTAACGTGGTGAAAAATAAAAAATAGAAAATGAAGTTTTGGTAGTGTCATGTTAATGAGTGAAATACTATCGACACAAGTAAAGTATTTGATTGTTGAATTTTTGAGAGAATTATGGAGGTCGTGCTGTTTTTTTAAAACTACCCAAGTGTGCCAATCCCATTCGGATAGACTGCAGGACGGTGAACGTTGTATTCGCGCAAGATAACAAACGGTTAACGCTGTATTCGCGCAAGATAACAAACGGTCAACGTTGTATTCGCGCAAGATAACAAACGGTATTAGTGTTGGTTTCTTTGTTTTATATTTTTTCAACACACAAACGCACTTGCCCCATCTATTCTTGGGGGGGGGGGGGGGCGCGGCAGTCCGGTTCTATATCAGCTGCCAGCAAAAGATTTCAAAATGTTTTTATGAAGTCACTAGGAAGAACGTTCAGGTAGATAATTCACCGTGGTCATCGTAAACCGCAGCAGAGGATATACCTCTCTCGGCCTTTTGGCTAAGATCAAGTGTAGTATCTGTTCTGATCAGTTTAATATCTGATCCGTGGTCCATCGGGCCACATTAAAAAAAAAAAAAAAACCGCAGCAGAGGATCTTCCACGGGAAAAAGAGAAGGGGAAAAACGGGATTTGAAATCGGCGACTTCTGGCGTGACAGATTGCAGTACGTCTGTTCGTCGAATATCACGATCATTACTGGCACATGTTTCGATTTTTTGTGTTTGTTTGCCCTTGGCTTGCAGTGGTTGTTGTACAATCGCTTGACTGCGTTCGTCCTTCCCTCCGTTCTAACGGTTGCTGTTTGTTTTACGTCTATCGACACGATGATTTGCTGTACAGATACTATAGCTATTTATAGATAGTCCTGCTGTGTTCGCGGAGAAGTTGGTCAAACTTACATCCTCCCTGACCATGTATTCTGATTCGGGAAAATCTGCTGGAGTGTGTTTGTCCTTGTGATGGTTTGATTTTGTTCCCCCCCTCCTCCCCCCCCTCCCCCCAATCCTCGTTTTCTATGTGTTGCTGTTTGCTTCTACCTCTATCAGAACGATCAGTTGTTCTACAGATAGTACATCAGCTACGGATACAGCTCCGCTGTTTTAGTGCAGAAGTCGGTCAAACTTATATCCTCTCTTACTATGACTTGGGTAGTTTGTGCTAACGATATCCTCTTCACTTCCCTTCTCTGGTAAATCTATCGGAGGCGTCTCCGTGACTGGCTCTCAAACAGACCGCCGCATTGTCAAGACCACTACCTAAACGCAGCCGAGCCTTTTTTAGGAGGTTCTTCGACCCATTGTACGGAGCGAGGGCGAGAGGAGGGGATTGTACGGTCGTAGAGGGGGGGATTGTGCGGTCGTAATCTGGAAAATATTGGGCGTTTATGTACAATTGAATTTCCAATGGCTGGTAATATAGTACAGTGCAATCGACGTATGCATTGTGGAACTTACCCGCCGAAAATTTCGTAGAGCCCTCTGATACACACACATCGCGGGCACGAATACATACTCTTGTAATCAGTCGCTAGCAGTCTGTCACTAGTATCCATCAGTCGCTAATAAGCAGGGGGGGGGGGGGGGGGGGCTATTATTAAGAACGAGGCGACATGATTGGGCTGCGCTATCAAGCACCAGGCGACATGATTGGGCTGTTTTCTTTTGAGGTGACTTCTGTGGGAGGATGGTGAGTTGTAGTGATGGTTTTCCATTATATCAAACAAATGGAAAATTTGTGCAATCTACTTAAAAACTTTCCCTTGGTGGCGTTGGTCTGTGAACAATGTCTCTTTTCCTCTGCGTTTTCCTCTGCGTTTTCGTTGGTAATCAGCTTTTTTTCCGTCCTGTGTGTTTTGCTTAGTGTGAGCAGCTAACGAGTTTGTGACTGAATTGTCTATGTTATTATCACAGCGATTGTTGCCGGTGAATGTGAGGCACAAGTGCTCGTAGCCTCTTCTCGCCCCCACAAGTTGTGATATTATTGACAGGAAGCAAGGCGGAAATGCCCGGTTAGCTGCTGTTATCAATGCTTTCAGCTGTACGGGAAAGCAGCACTTATGATGTTCACTCCACCGTTTCACAGTTAGGCTTCCGTCAAGAAGAACGCCTTTTGGGCCTTTGTTTCTTCCTCCTCCCCCCCCCCTCCCCGCTCTCTGTAATGGACCATTTCTCGATTCATGCTTGTCAGCCTTGCCCCGGGGCCGTGCTAATCATCTTCTCTTTCAGTGCATCGTTCGTTCCAATTTTAACGAATGTCCCACCAATAATTGTTCACTTGTAGAAAACGTGTCTTCCGTCAGGAAGAAAACGTGTTGGGGCTTTTTCGGTTGTTGACACCTAGATGGACATCGGGAAGAAAACGTGTTGGGGCATTTTCGGGTTTCTCGGATTTGTTATATATCTACGTACGTGAATGCTCGTGTGCAGGTCTCTCATCAAATCTCGGGATAAGTGACAATCTGGTCTCTTGTCAGTGCACGTGGTAATGAAGATCCGCTGCAGTATGAAGCTTCTATATTAAGCATTAGAGAGAGCGGAAGATGTTGGTGGAAATGAGAGAGAAGAGGTCATGATGGAGGCGGAGAAGTGTTTTTGCAAGGTTTGCTCCGCAAGCATCCCTTAATCGGATCCGTCCTTGAATCACACAAAAATGTTCCTGTACCCATCCAGTTTTTGTCTACCTTGCACACCATCGACATACGTACGGCCCGGGCTTTATATTGCTGCTTGTGGGAGCACTGGTCGAGTTCCTCGCTCTCTTAAAAGCTTGACCACTCGCTCTGGACGTCCCTCACCGACCTCCTCCCTTTCGCTGGCGCTCGCTCTTTCAATGCCGGCCAGATCACAATCGGAATCTAGGCAATGG